AAATTTTAAAATTAAATGAGATATAATCTGTGGATACAAACTTTGTAAAAAAAATAAAAAAACAAAAGCGTTAATTGTTATTATAGCCAAGCAAATAAAACAACAAGTTATGATGATTTAAGGTGATATTTCCATAAATATTTCCAAATTTGAAGAGTTTGATAAACAGTAGGCCTTGACAGCAAATTTAGCGGTGCCACCACTCGGCTGTTATCATCGTAAAAAAGTAAAACTTTTAATAATCAGCTGTCAAACGCTTAGGTTACAAACGAGTGTTTTTGAGAATAAAGCCGAAAAATGTTAAAAAAATATCGAAAAAAAACCGTGGATCGATTTGTTGTGTTGTTGGGTGTATTTCGAGAGGAAATCCTAGGTTGAGTTTTTACCGGTTTTCCAATAAACAGTGTTAATCTGAATGAAGAAATAAATTGCATACAGTCTCTGTAAATATAAATTGTACCTATTAGTTACAATTAGGGTTGGGACAGTTTAAATTTTCAAATGAAAATTTCAACTTTGAAAGTTTCAAACTTGAAATATTTTATTTAGTTGGAAAAGTGAAATTTTTTAAAATTTCAAATGAAATTTACAATTCGAAAATTTCAACATTGCCTGTGAAACTTTCAGAAGTTTCATTGAAAGTTTCGCAATTTACTGAAAATTTCGCATAAATTTCACATGCGGCCTCCCCTGGGACCTTTAATAATAATTTACAACAGATTCCGAATCGACCAATAAGAACCAGTTATCAAGCGTCTGGACGTTTTTGTTTAGTTCGGCTTGGATTTGAATACACTTTTAGTAATTATTGTTACTTATATGCATAAATTAATTTAAATAATTTAAATCAGTTACCAATTTAATTTGTAAATTAAATCAGACTTTAAAATTTTTTTAAAAGTCATGATGAATTTAAACTTTTACTTTTGCTATAATTGCATCGGAAAACGGATGAAAAATGCCTTTGGCTCATAAAATTTTGATGAAGTTTCTTTAATTTTTGTAAAATTTCAATGTAATATATAAAAATAATAAATATATATATAAATATAAAACAATGAAAATGGCACAATCTCGTTAGCTTACCAAAAAGTGCTATATCTCTCTTAGTTTTAGTAATTTTAAAAGGAAATCTCAAGAAATTTGTGGTATACATAGGTATTTACTATTTATATTATTGGTGATCAGGGGCCCACAGAGGGGTAGGAGGTAAGAGAGGCAATTTGCCATGGTCCCCAAGTGGGCTTATTTCAATATATATATAATATATTACACTTAAAGTGATTGAAATTTATTGAAAGTTTCAATACATTTCATAAATTTTATGAAATTTCAGAAATTTAGGAAATTTTAATAAGTTTCATAAATGTCATGAAAATTTCAAGTGAAATTTCAAGTACAAGCAAAAAGTGAAATTTTCCCAACCCTAGTTACAATAAATACACATTTTAGTAGTGATTAACGTGAAAAGTGTAAACATTTCAATTCAGTAAAAATCGTCAAACAAATAAGTCGTCTAAATTTAAACAGCATTTAGCATTATTAAAAGCGTTGATTAAGAATTCTTTAAAGTCTCCACTCAACGGTAAAATACCATTATATTATGTATTATATATAATATTATGTTGCCATGAATTCGTAGGTATATTTTGTTGTTTAAAATACAGTTGTCGGCGTTTTTTTAGAGAACTCAAATATAAAATGATTGATTTTAAGGTTATGTTTGTGCAAATATTATTTTAAACCAATTTCTTAAAAATGTCCATACTTAAATATAAATTATATTAGGTAAAGTTATCATTAGTTAATTCTGCTCCAACAAATGTACTTACCGAATTGGATCCTTTGGCAAAACATGAAAATGCAACGATTTAGTTCTTCTATTTACAATTAAAAACACAATAATTCACCATGATCCCTTTGATAAAATACATACACTAACGTAACTATATAAGCATTTAAGCGTTGAGTTTCTTAATCAATGATATAAGGAATCGAAATCGAGTACCAAAAAAGTTTTTTAATTTTTTCCTTGCAACGTAAAACACAAATAACGTGCGCGATTTAGCTGTTCAATTGAACAAAATTTGTCGAGTAAGACAGAAGTAAGACAGAAGCCTACCTCTCTTTTGTAAAAAAAACTACCTATTTATTTAAAAATGATGTATAATGATTATTATTATACTATAATCGGTGCTTTAAATTTATTGTTGACAATTCTTAAATTCACGCAATGCATTCGAAGTCCACCAGATGGCGCGCGTTGCGAAAACCCGATACTTCTTTAGCGTATGAAGTAAAAATAAAACCTAGGTATTTTAATTAGCAAATTAATAATTGGTTACTAATTTAAGTACCACTAAAAACTAAATACAACATAAAAAGTAAATAAGTAACAATATTAATTTTTATTTGTTATAATGGAAAAATAAAGCCTGAATTATAGATTTCCTTTCTTCCTCCCTTCCTCCCGTAAAAAAAAACAATAGAAAAACAGTTGTGCTGTTTATAAATTCCTGTATAGGAATCTGAATTATAGATTGTCTTCCTTCCTTCCTGCCGTAGTCGTGCCCGTACGATTTGTGCGTCTTGTAAAAAGTCAATTTATAGATTTCCGTATTGTTCATCTTTTACGGGAGGAAGGGAGGAAGGAAGGAGGGCAATCTATAAATCAGGCTTTAAGGTTTAAAACTGTCATATTTTTGTGTTTCTTAAGTTGGCAGCACGAAATTTCAAATAAAAATTTTAAAAAGTGCTAAAAAAATTGTAATTGTAAATATACTGTAGTTGGTTGCTTGAGTTTAAAAACGAATTTTTAAAATATTCTGTGGAAAATGTCAGTTGCGCAAAAGTGTTCCACAGATTCCCCATAGATTATTTCAAAAATTCTTTTCCATACTCAGGAAACAAAATAGGCTCATGTTAATTCTTTAAAATTGATTATTTAGTTTTTAGTCATGGGCGAGCTTGTGAGATAAAAAATAAAAAAATGTCATATAAAAACATATTTATATTCTTGGAATCTGTGCTGTAAAAAAATCTGAAATTATTTGTGTATGTGTCTGATGCCTTACAAATTCATAAATTTAATTATAAAGATATTCTATGGAAACTCTTAAAATACTACCTTAAAGTTTGGATTTTCTGACAGAAACATACCTTTTGAGCTCAGTCACGCCGTTCTCTATATATAGAGAACGCCGTGGCTCAGTTTTAAGTTGTTCTCTACAAAAAGGTTTCGACGCTGTTTATTTAATTTGCCAGAGTGGAAAGCGGGTTGATTTAAAGCAGACTTAAAAGTCTTATATGTTACGAAAGTCGATGCCCCGTTTGAATTTTTTGTCCCCTTTCGATTTAATACAACCCAGAGGGTTCTAAAAATAATGCGTTTTATTATTCTTATAAAACACACCAGTCTATTTAGAAAAGTAAGCCTTTGTTCGCCGCTCATTAATATTCTCCTCGTTACCAGTAATAAAATCGTTCTGATGTTATTGGGTTTTGCATGAAATATAAATTACTAGAATACAGCAAATCGCACATACTAACGGAAAAACAATAGAGATAACAGGAAATTAAATGTCAATCAGAATCATCAATAACTAACTATCTGATAGTATCAGACTGATACTAGTGATACATATGAACATGTATACAGGGTGATTATTGTAGATTTAACATATCTTAAACACGAAAAATCTCAAAAAGTCGTTTATTATTAATTTGTTATTAGTAGTACACAGGTAGGCATTATTAACTATAGTTAATAAGGCGACAAACGTTAAGGGTAGATTAAAAGCAATATAGCTTGTTTAATCTAATTTATTTTTGATTTTTTGCAATGACAAAAATTTATGAGATTAAGTTTCTTCTATTTTGAATTCTGTATATTTAATTCTTCTGGGATTGTGCACTTTGCATGTCACTGAACTCCTCCTAAACGGCTGGACCGATTTTGATGAAATTTTGTGTGTTTGTGTATGGGTGAGTCCCTGGATGGTTTATAGTCACAATTGGACCCGGTATGTGGCGCTGCAATCGGGTTCTAGCATATACTTACTTGTGGTAAGTATATGGGTTCTAGCGTATACTTATACGTATATGGGTTCTAGCCAACATTCGGGAAGGACAACGTCTGCTGGACCCGCTAGTATAATTATATAAATATGACTATTCCACTCATTACTTTATGGACCAATCAGATTTCAGAAAACTAGTGGTTTTTTCAGTTTTGCAGCGACTATTCCACTCATTAATTTAAGGACCAATCAGATTTCAGAAACGAGTGGTTTTTTCAGTTTTGCAGCGATAAAACTACTCTTTAGGTGAAAAAAACACTCGTTTATACGCTATGCTAAAAATAATTGTAACTGTTGACGTTTTTAATTTTAAAATTAAAATGTAAAAAATATGCGTTTTGGTCAAAAAAATCATACAGAAATTGAATCAGCAGTTAAAAATATTCGTGAAATAGTCTTGCCGAATATCAAATTTCCCTTGCGAAACTTCCAAGAAAAAAACATTTTATCGGTAAAATTTTACCACTAGTGGTAGTAAAGAAATGGTAAAGAATATGAAGTGAAGGTTCAGAATACAGAAATTAAAATAGTTTGGGCGAACTAAATATTGCCAATATAAAAATATGTGACGTGAAAAGGGACCTAAGCGTCCCAGTGTAATATTAAAGGAGAACGGAAGAATAGATTGTATGAGTTAGTCCGCGAGTATGTTGGTGCTGTGAAAAAAATTGAGTTTTCACCTAAATCCGAAGGGGCAAACGATTTATTCAAACAAAATGACTAAAATAGATTATTTAGTGCAAGATTGAAGAAATTAATCTTGCACTAAATAATCTATTTTTGAGTTAATTTTACCGATAAAATTCTAATACGGTTTAGGCACGTCTAAATGTAGAAGTATTTGACATTATTTTAAAAAATCACATAATATGTATATTAAACGTCTCGTGATCGGTCATAAAAACAACTATTTTTTTACAGGTTGGCGATCAAGTAGTAGCTCTACCAGAGTACAGAGCCTGGTCGGAACTGGTAGCAGTCCCAGCCAAATATGTCTACAAACTACCAAAGGACATCTCCCATCTGGATGCAGTCACCATTACCATGAACTACACTGTAGCCTATATCTTGCTCTTTGAATTGGCAGGAATTTCCCAAGGAAAATCATTGTTGGTTCACTCTGTAGGAGGAGGAGTGGTAAGTACACAAAACCTATTTGGATACCATGAATATAAAAGACTATTTACATATTGTCATGGACGAGCTGATGTCTCCACAAACCTAGATAAAAATATAGGACGCATGTAATGAACATTTTATTTTGCCTTGTTAAAAAGCAATTTTTCATCTATCTAACTAACTAGGAAGATGATCAAATTGCTCGACATAATATTGATCTTAGTTTTTTTATTATAAAGCTCTACGCTATTTTAAATCAAGGATAAAGTCTGCCTTCAAGGACCATTTAATTGACGTTCGCCTTGATAAATCTTTTTGTTTGTTTTTCCTTGAAAATAAGAAAAATTAAATATAACTTCAGTATATTGGTTTTTCAAATTTTTAATTAATTCATTTAAAATATATTTACTTTATATTCCGAAGCCAAATTTTAAACGTCTATTTGCTTTATATTATTAGCATTTTATGTTAAATAGGTTAAGTTACTTTATAAGTCGACGTAAAATTAAATCTTTTACTTAACCTTTGTTCCAAAATTACAAAACTTTAGAGTTTGACTATGGTCAAAATCCTGTATGTTTATTAGGGAGTTTCAAAAAAAAAATTAATATTTTTTTTTGCTTTTACCCTCTCAAATGTTTCTATTTAATATAAAAAAAATCCTTACCAAATATGGGCGTTCCAGCTTAACTCTAAGGGGTCGCTGTTTTTATTTAAGTTTCTCATTTAATTAACATGACAAAAAATAATTTTATGTTTGGAATTTTATACCTCTGTAGCAGTTTCTCATATAAAATGTAACGCTCTACAAAAAAGGTCTCTTATTATTTTTCGATAATATGATTTCAAAGTTTTATTAACACTAAATTTTCTGTTTTTTTTTAATTTTATGGTACAATTAGCAGACGGGAGGTAAAAGGGGACAAAACAAGGCAGCGGGGGGGCAAAATGGGGTACCCAAAAAAATTTCATAAAAAAAATCTTTTTTTAGATTGTTTTTTTTGGTTTCTAAATTATTTGAAAATATATTGACTCACAAGTTCACGCTTTTAATCGAAAATAATTATTCTGAGCCTGTAGAGCGAGAAAAAGGAAGGTGCAAATTTGGAAAACTTTTCATATGCTCATTTTTGGGGTACCCCATTTTGCCCCCCCCCCCGCTGCCTTGTTTTTCCCCCTTTTACCTCCCGTCTGCTAATTGTACCATAAAATTAAAAAAAAAAAATTTGATGTTAATCAAACTTTGACCTCGAATAATTCTAGAAGAAATCAATTTATCGAAAAATAATAAGAGACCTTTTTGTAGAGCGTTACATTTTTTATAAGAAACTGCAATTATCATTGCCATAAGTTACTTTTATACAGAGGTATAGAATTTCAAACATAAAATTATATTTTCCAATGTTAATTAAATGGGAAACTAAAATAAAAACAGCGACCTCTTAGAGTTGAGCTGAAACGCCCATATTTGGTGAGGATTTTTTTTTATATTAAATAGAAACATTTAAGAGGGTAAGAGCGAAAAAAAAAATTAAATTTTTTTTTGAAGCACCCTAATGTTTAATATATTATGTAGTAACTTTTACGTTAATAACCTTCCTCACACATGTATAATTACCACCGCACATTTTTGCAAATCCTAATAATTTAATAGACTAGATACACAGGCCGACAACATTTTAAACCAAAACCTAAACTTTTCCAAAGGTTTGAAGTTTGAATTATTCGATTGGTCTTAAATTCGAATATTCGCACACCCTATCCATTATTTATGGCCAAACCAAACTTGTTTTTCCCTGAGACTTTAAAACAAAAATTCCGAAACATATGGTAGACGCCTTGTCACGTTTTCCCTGCGACCCCGCCGCCAGGCGTCTTGTGCGCGCGGTCCTTGGCCCCCCGCGTACCGACGTCGAGTTCTCCTCGAAAGCGACGGGAGCGCGCAACAGGTCGTGAGCGTCCTGTCTGGAACGGTCTGCCAGGCGCCGCGACGCCCGGCGTCTTTTGGTCTGCGAAACGATCTCTCGAATCGCGACACGTTAGACTAAAGGGAAAATCCGAACGAAGTCAATTTGGAAAATAGGAGTACAACTTATATACGAAAAATAACCGTTAACAACAGCGAGATATAGGCAAAATAATTTCTAATATCCAAGAGATTTGGTTTAAATTAAGGAAATACATTAATTAAATGGTACTAACGTTAATTTAGAATTATTTTCAAAAATTTACTTACATTTAGAATATTAGATACAATATACTTTTCAAAATATTTATTGGCGATGGAAAAAAGATTAAAAAAAACATTTCAGATTGAATTTTAATTTTGTCCCTGGTGCATGAAGAAAAGATTCCCCGCCGCCGTCGGGCATCGATCGCGTGTGTGTGTGCGGCGGCCGCCGCCACCGTTTCGGGGCGCGGCACTAAATTCACAACTTAAACGTGCGGACGGCCATCAGAAAGTCGTAACAGCTGTTACTTCGTCCTAAAAGTCCCACGTTACGTTGTTACAACTACTGCATCTCAATGTGCACATTATTTGTGTTCTGATTTTTAAAAAGTCAGATCATCACTTTATAAAAAATATATGTTAAAGTTTTATTTAAAAAAGGAAATATATTTTGTGAAAAGAAGTAAATGTCTTCTTCTGGGAATCTTGAAAAATGCATAGTTTTGCCTATAAAATGTAGAAAACGATAATTAATTTAAAAAAGCTATGCTTTAAAAAAAACTAATTTATGTTAACATTCAATATTATCAATATCAAATAACTTAGTTTAAGGTTTTTGTATTTTTTTTTAGAAATACTTTTATAATCAAGGCTTGATGGGTTAAATTTATGATGAGAAAAATTTAAATATTATTATTAAAATGTATAAATTATTATTGGCTAAGGAAGTTAAGATTGGTATGCCAATTTTACAGGTTTTTTATATATACAGGGTGTCCTGAAATTAGTGCACCATACTTAAACAGCAGATTGTACGTGCAAAAATAAGAAAAAAAGTCCCTATAAACATAGGTCAAGAAATGCCTCCTAAGGGAGCTACAGCCCCCAAAAGAAAAGCCCCTGAAGATAGTTTTTATTTAATATCTCCAAAACCGTTAAAGATATAAAAGTGAAATTTGGGGAATTAATTAAACTTTTTATGACCAATAAGACGTAACAATAACAATTTAAAATTTTTTATGAGGTTTGGGTCAAATTGATAGGAAGTAGGGTTAAAACCACCTTAACTTTTTTTTACGTATCTTGTACCAGAATTTGGTGTCAGATTATGAAATTTTAGAGTTTTGCACATAAAAAAGGTCATCTAGTTGAACTTCGATAACATACACCGTTTTCGCATAAAATCGATTTGAAAATTATTTTACATGGCATAAAAATTCACAATTAAATCACAACCATAGAAATGGACTCGTGTGGTCCTTGGAATACGGCTGCCATGTTTAGGAAAAAATAGAATAATACAAGACAGGTGACAGTTTCATGTAGTAAGTGACAGGGTGTTTCTACTTTTTTATTTATATTTGATAAAAACCATCTTCAGGGGCTCCCTTTTCGGGGGCTTTTTTTTTTCTTATTTTTGCACGTAGAATCTGCTGTTAAAGTATGGTGCACTAATTTCGGAACACCCTGTATGTCACGGCTAATGTGCAAACTGGGATACTTCATAAACTAGCCAAACTGTCAGCTATTTTAATTGAAAATGTATTTTCAACTAAATTAGCGGCTAGTTTACAAAATAACCAAGGATCTTGGCTAATTTACTTGAAATTATTAGGGAAACTAAAATAGCTGGATAGTTTGTATACTATCTAATTCAATTTGGCTAATATGAAAACCAAAATTCCCTGCTTAAAATACCCCATAGAGACCCTGTTCAAACCGATAGATATTTGTATCGGGATGTATGGTGTTTCTATAGGGTGTATCGGTTTGTATAGGACCCATAGTTGAGATTTATGGTTGTTCTATAGGGATATCCACCATTGATTTATTTGCTATCGGTTTCAATGGGGAAAATACACATAAATGTAGAAATTAGTTTTTTCCCTATAGGACCCCATAGGTTTTAATAAAATTTTGTCAAATGTTTTATGGTTGTTCTATAGGGATATCCCTATATATCCTTCATTGAGTTATTTTCTATCGGTCTCAATAGGGAAAATGTAAAAGTTATGGTGTGCCTATAGGTAATTTCCTATACATTTTCTATCGGGCTGTATCCGGAAAAAACCTTGGACAAATGCACATATTGAAACCGGTAGCGCCCTATAGAATATTTTGTATAGGTCTCTATGGGGTATTTTAAGCAGGGTTTCTAGTAACACAAAATAGTCAAGCTTTAGCTAGTTTGTAAACTAACCAACTAATTCTCTGGCTATTGCCCATCTGGGTTTCTTGCTCAATGTGGCGGGGGGGGCCAATGGGGCGGGGTCGGTTAGGTTGTGTTGTTGAGTTTGGGTTGGTTTGGGTTTTTTTCTCTCATTTTTGACCATTTGACCAATGGGGCGGGGGGGCCAATGGGGCGGGGTCGGTAGGGTTGTGTTGTTGAGTTTTCTAACAAGGAAGCGTTAAAATTTTGCCTGAAACAAATCCGGTTAAGCCTGCAAAACGAAAAACAATGCCGTAACCTCACTTTTTTAATAAATTAGCCAGAGAATTGGTTGGTTAGTTTACAAACTAGCTAAAGCTTGGCTATTTTGTGTTATAACATATATACTAGAAATAACATAAATACTAGAAATTTTGGTTTTCATATTAGCCAAACTGAATTGGATAGTATACAAACTATCCAGCTATTTTAGTTTCCCTAATAATTTCAAGTAAATTAGCCAAGATCCTTGATTATTTTGTAAACTGGCCGCTAATTTAGTTGAAAATATGTTTTCAATTAAAATAGCTGACAGTTTGGCTAGTTTATAAACTATCCAGCTAGTTTATAAACTATCCAAGTTTGCACATTAGCCGTAACATATATACTCAATAATATAAATTTAGTTTAATTTTAAAC